AAGCTATTACATAGAGAAGAATTTTAGTTTTAACAATGTTCTACATGTTTCTATATTCTTAACTTGTCAAATTAATCTATATCAAAATGTAACAATGAATATTTTCTCTTTCATTCAATAAAATCGGAACGTACTATTTGTTACGATGCAAATATTGAAAACTGTCGGACAGTGTAAAGTTCACTGGATTTTTGAAAACACACGGGGCATTAAATGTCCAATTTTATACTAGCCGTTGCCCGCGGTTTCTTTCATATGGAATTTTTGATAATGTAATCACAAAGTGTTTGAGAGCCATGCGAAGCAAAAATGGGCCGGACCGGAGTGATACCACGGCCTCACAGAAAACCGACGTGAAGTAACGCTTGCGTTTTGTTTCGTCGTGTGAGCGAAGTTACCGGAGGCCCAATTACCCCCCCTTCCCCAATCTCCCCAATTCCTGAATCCCCAACGATCCTCAAAATCCTAATCCCCAAAAGGCCGGTAACGCACGTGTAACGCCTCCGGTGTTCCAGGTGTCCATGGGCATCGCCGATTGCTTACCATCAGGTGATCCATCTGCTCGTTTACCGGCTTATGCCATAAAAAAATCACTACTTACGATGATCTAGGCGACATGTGACCCATGGAAATGATCCTAAAGATTTATATAAATCTAAACATCACACCTTTTTGCCCTTCGCAAATGTGCACTATATACCTCTAGTAACAAAGTAGATACCTTTTTTGAGGGAGAAAAATCATCCAAACTCTTTTCCTGCCTTGAGTGAGACGAGAGAGTGTCAGACTCTTACTGACTTAAAACCACGTCGAGCCGGAGCCCTGGTTACCCGTTAGGTTGTCTGCAGCTCCGGGTCGGGCGGCCAGCAGCCCTACTGGGCCCATCTGTGGTTGTCTGTTGGCTCTATGCGGCGCGCGCGGAACTCGACGCGTCGTACGGTCAGGTTCTAGTTGGGCTCTTTAGTTTCTTTCTCTACTGGACAATCTAATCATAGACAAAGCACCCAAATCAGCCTACTAGTCAGGGCTTTCTTTCTCTGTCATCTACCCTGGTCACCAAATTGAGTGGAACTGGCGAGAGACGTCACACGGTGTCTCACAGGGTTCAGTTTTTGGGGGTCTTCTGTGGAACATTGGCGACGACTCGGTGCTACGCAATGACCTCCCGAACGGTGTCAGCGTGGTCTGCTACGACACGCTGGTGCCAGAACTCGGGAGGTCGTACCAGGCAGCGACTAACTTACCTAATGGCAAGAGCGGTCGCGGTAGTCATTGCTAGGATCCAGCAATTAGCACTCGAGGTGGTATTCTATAAACTGCCCGTTAAAAGCACGGAAAGATAACACAATGCGAGACCACGACAACCTGGTCACCGATGGCAGACGAGAGACAACGATGGAGACTGGTAATCCCACAAACATGTGGTTACGCTTCTTTTGTCACTAAAATAAAATTGCGTGCTCTAAACAATGCAAAGTCCGGCCAGTCCAGCTATTCAATAGAATAGAATAGAACAGAATAATTTATTTGCATTGAATGTAGATACATATTTATTTATGAGGTCTTACAAAGATATACCGTTCCTGGTACATTCTACCAACTAGAAAGCAAACTATTATAATTATTAATGGATAAGATATAACTTATAATATTTAGAAATTCTTATTAGACTTACAGCAAATCAGTCTATATGTTATCTAATAAAAAATCTGACACAGAATAATAACATTTTTGTATTAAAGATGCAAGTTGTATGTAATATTTCAAAGGACTATAGGTACCTATACATATACTAAACGTGTCTATATCAAATATACAATATGAAGTAGACGATACAATATTACATATTTTTGCTACTAGTTAATAATCGCTAAAAATAAATAAATTGTGAGTCGAGTTGTAATGCCGTGTGTTCTCGTCCTGAAATGCATTTGCGCAGTTAGGATCCCTGCGGCAAGGAGTTCGGCGCAGCGCGCGGTACTGCAGAATCGCCGAAGCCACCCGCCAGTACTGACGTAACTCACGAGAGGAAAACGTTATTTTGTGGAAATGGAAGTTATATGACATTGGCTTTCCTCTTCGGCTCCCCACTGCTGAATAGCAGTGGGGAGTCTACACATGGAGGTGAGTACCTAATTCTCGCTATTTTTTTTATCAGTTACAGTTGCAGTGTGTTCGCTAGAAGGCAAGACTGCACGGCTGGTGCGGTGGATGGACCACTTGCTGCCGCGCAAGCAACGTGTCGTGGGTTTTATTCCCGCACCGAGCAACTCTTTGTGTGCTCCACAGATTATTGTTCGGGGTCTAAGTGTCGTTTATATGTGAACTTGTACGTTTGTAAACGCACTCACGACACAGGAGAAAATTCTAGTGTGGGGCAACGTTTTTTTTTTAAATAAAAATAAAATATAATTTTTAGGCGAATATTTTTTTTACTAACATGTTTTTTTTTGTCGTCAGGGGTCCCTAATTCTACCGAAGACGAGGCAGATGTTTTGGAGTAGCGAAGGGGCTTTACTAGTGAAAATGCAAGCACCCTTCGCGATCCATGTACCGAGACCCTAGTGAAATTGCCGGGATAAACACACAAGCATCAGCTGGGATACATGGATCTAAAACAACAATCGTAATCTTCAATCGAGCTGGAATCACAGCGTTTTCTGTAGTTTGCACCGATACACACCGCGGGGATGCGTATCCGTATTATTGATGTAGAATTCTGTCTCTGTCTAAGCTATTATTGTATTGTGTATGTGTCTCATGCAATAAATAGCCCTTGAATTAAATTATTGTTTTATTTAAAAAATACCTTATACACACAATCACAAACTTTCGCACATATACATACACACCAAGGTACACGCAAGCAAACGCGCACAATGCGTATACATAAATAGACATACATAATCACACATTCAAACACATGCACAAAAGTACGCACACACGAATACAAGTAAATAATCAAACACACATACGTACATGCAAACAATAAACATAAATAAATGGTTTTTCTTTCTTTCTTTCTTTCTTTCTATTTGAATGCATGAACACCATCACACCGACAAACCGTAATAATTACGTAAAACACCCACACTTACTGCACATTTTCACACACACTTTACAATCTAACACACAGTACACAGATTTAAATGGACATAATAATAACACACAAGATACATATTGTACAAATATTGTTATCACCAAGGAAAGATAAAGACACACAACACACACACACACACACACACATACACACACACACACACATACACACACACACACACACACACACACACATACACACACACACACACACACACACACGCTTACACTAATTCTCTCATAGACAAATAGACACACACAAGCAAGTGAACAAACACGCACATAAGTATGCGTAAACGTAATAGGTACATCAAACACATACACACGCGATCTCACGAACTCGCGCTCGCGCGTACACAAACACCATACACGTACCAGATCGCAAACATGCGTGCCTGGTGCTGAAAATTAGCACTGTGGACTCGAACCGTCGTACTCGGGCCACAGCATTAAGCTGAACTCCCGTCTTTTGCGCTGCGACGCACCATGGACTTTTGTGTATAAAAAACGTAGGTATTTAGTTGTTTACATCTTCATCTCGGTGGAATACCATTATGGGTACCAGTATTATCAGTCAATGATTAAAAACGTTTATTCAGTCTATTAAACATAATTATGCCTAACTCAGTCGCAATTCCACGTTCGAAAGGACAGGTCGAGCGATACAACCGATACGATTTTGGTTCATCCTCCTGATGCTCAGTTAGGCATAAATACCACTATAGATGACGTCGAAAAGGATCAATCGAGTGACTGTTTGGACAAAAATTAGGCAATCCATCTCAAGTGTAATAATATCACTGTTGTGTGGTCTGTGTTTTAAAGTGTTACCAATGAACCTGTAAAGCAAATTAGCTCGTGCGCTAGTGATCGCATTAAAGAAAATTAATATAACAATTAGGATCGATTTGACAGACATCAAAGGTCATAATGGGAACATAAAGATGCGAGTCTGGCATACCAGACTCTTACTAGGTACCCATAGATAGTAAGAGCTATTGTTCCGGGGTCAGGGAAGTCGTTGAAGTTACCTAGCATCCAAACGCCATGGGTCGTATCGAAAAAAAATAAAAACACCGCTGTTACAGAAGTAAAATGTATAAGTATGGGATTGTAGTAGCTATTAATAAAATTGAACCTTTGATGAGCTATGATGCACAGACATCTTCACCTAGTGATGAACAACCTAGTTCAAATAATGAATGATTATGTACTAAAAGTTAGTGAATAATTTATTTCGTGAATTACATTGTTATATAGTATTGATGGTTATTTACTTGAGTGTATTTACTATACTTATTGATTTACTCATATTTACTTTTTGCACAGAGCTTAACGCTGCCTGTCCATTGACGCATAGAGGGGCAGCGGAGCGGAGCTATTTGAATGAATTTTTAAACTAGCACGCACATCCTTTTCCACTAAAGCGAAGCGCAGATTTCATGCAATTCTATTGGTTAATATTTCTTCGTTTCTCCGTCCGCTGCCCCTCTCCGTGTCAATGGACAGGCAGCCTAAGTGTACCTACGCATAACCATATCACGCGACAGGAGTTAAAGTAGCCAGAGAGCCGCAGTCGTTTCAAGACACTACGTTCGCCTTTTATTCAACGTTCTTGATGGTACCCCCCCCCCCCTATACTTATACCCTTAGATGGTACCTATGTAGGTATTAATGTATGACCTAACCTCATTTCTGACGAAGTGAAACATATTTTTTTTTTCAAAACTATAAGTAAGATGTCAATCTTACAAAGTGATGTCATTTTGTAAAATAAAAGTATTTTTCTTTCATTGCAGATTTCACACATAGTAATGATTTAATTTGATGTTTTTTTATTGAGTACAATGTCTTCTCATATTTATAAGTATTTAATTGTTTGGATAGTTTGCTCACTTCTTATGATCCAAACAAAAAAACCAAGCGGCAAGCGGCAACAGATTGTCTGGCGTCTTGAATGTGAGCTGGGTATCATTTCCGATAGCGACTGTCCTATTGATGGAGGCTGGTCTGCCTGGAGCTCATGGTCTTCATGTCAAGGCCCTTGTGACGACGTTGGACACCGCCACCGAACAAGAGAATGTATTAACCCGCCACCTTCTCAAGATGGTACACCATGTAGTGGGCCAGACGAACAAACAGATGTCTGTTACCTCACAAACTGCACTGTTAATGATTTTCGCGAACTGGTCAAAGGTGACTCGGCTAGAATGGAGGCGCTAAATCAACTTGAAGCTGTCCCTGCCTTAATGGAACGCTGCTTACAAATGGAATGCCCCTTTGAAGCAATTGAGGCCGCTCTAGCTTTTGATAATACGTGGCAACTTAATTCAGAGTCCTTGTGGAACTCGTTACAATGTGTGAAGCGTAACCTGGGCTGTCCTGTGATGGGCGAGTGGGGAACGTGGGGTTCCTGGTCTTCTTGCGGTGCTCGATGTGGACGCGGTTTAAAGTGGAGATTACGGAGATGTGATACGCCAGCACCTTCGGATGCGCGTCTTGCTTGCGCTGGCTCTCCTCTTATAGCAGATGTTTGCGTAGGAGATCAATGTGCTATTACCAGCAAAGATTCTGGAGGAAGTTGGGGTGAGTGGAGCTCTTGGTCGTCGTGCTCAGAAAAATGTGGAGCCGGAGTAAGACGCCGAAGAAGAGTTTGTCATGAAACTGACACTCTTCCGGCTTCCGGAACGTGGGGTACACACTGTCGGGGACAACACGATCAGTTAGAGGTTTGTGAAAATGGCTTTTGTTCGCTGGATGGTGGATGGTCTGGATGGGGGAGCTGGGGACCTTGCTCACAAACCTGCGGAGCTGGCAGACGGGCTAGAACAAGGACCTGTACTAGACCAATTCCACATGGCAAAGGATCGACTTGTGTTGGCCCTAAAACTGAAGTTGGCTCCTGTCATTTCTATCCTTGTGAAATATATTCTCATACAGTTGCCATATTTCATGGCGAATCATCTCTTCATTATAACCTCGAAAATAAGCGTGCTACACTTTATCAATTCTATATGAGATTTATGCCCTTGTCACCGCATGGAACATTGGTCCGTAGAGATGCAGGTCAAAATTCTTTCGTTCGACTAAGCTTACAGAAATGGCATGTTTGTCTAGATGCGTGTGGTTCTAGTCGGTCGTGTTGTCTGCCTAGGACTTGCTCACACACAAACTTCGAACCAGCAACGTGGCACACAGCTCTACTGGCTGTTACGGGTGAAGGAGCTGTGTTGAGGCTCAATGAAGCCGTCGTACCATTAAAAGTCGCTTGGCCTTGCGACCCAGATTTGCCTGATGATAAAATGAAAATTTTTGTAGGAGAAAGATTTCACGGACAAATTCAGGAATTAATTTTAAATTTTATACCCTTAAATATGATCATAAGCCGCAATCAGAGATCTAGAAAAAGCGATTTTCATCCTATTGCAGCTTCAAATATTGCATATGAAAAGGCGAATACGGAAGAAGCATACATGCATATCAACAATGATCAGTATTTACGTCTACCCTGTTTCCTAGATCAACAGAGCTGGCGCCTGGAACTAACTTTAAAAACCAAAAAAGAAGCGGGGACAATTTTATTTCTGAGAACTGATAGAAGCACCAATTGGTTACATTTATATTTGCAAAATATGAGATTGAAGATGAAGTTAGCCCTTGGTAATTTTCGAACAGAGAGCAGCAGTACATCGGATTGCGCATCAGAACAATGGCTCAATGTTACTATTTCCAAAAAACAAGATACAAACGCAATAGAAGCTTGTATCAATGCAGGAGAACGATTACATGTATTGTTCGAAGAAGTTGCTCGTAAAAGACGTGATTCGTTAAAAAGCACAACTCCAACCAGGGACCCAGTCAATATGTCTACATCAATCTCAAGTAAGTCAACAATAAAACCAGAAAATATTGATGGTCAAATACAAGACCTCCCATTTTCGTTGTGCTCTGACGAATTTTTCATCGGTGGGATACCAAATAACTTAATAAGCCATCTTAACGAGGAAGTTGTTCCGTTTTATGGAGTTATAGCTTCTATCAGGGAAAATGGGGTCCTATTAGATTTACATGGTTGTAATATGGAGAGATATAAGGAAGACAAAATTCAAGTGTCCTCAAGATCAGCAAGTGTATCTGGATCTTACCACGAAACAGCGTGGGGTAAGTCTAACAGGCTGAACTTGACGTGCCTTCATGCAAGAACATCTCGGTCTCCACACGAAGCTAGCTGGTTGTACTTAGACACAGCTATGGATACAAGTGCTTTAAAAGAAAAAACTGTGAGATCAGTTAACGATGGACGAGTTCTGAGACTCGTAGCTACAGCTGATCACGATCTAAGAGGTTTCTACACATGTCGTGCGCACAGCAACAGACGTACTCAGAACATCGTTACTTATGGTGTTTTAGGCAAGATTCAATATAAATTAACTGGCCCTGACACGACCACAGCAATCGCTGTTGTCACAACTCTAGTTCTCGTAATAAGCACACTAACTTGGCTTGTCATTGAATGTATTCATGATGTTAGGAGCGGTTATGGTTTCTTTAGAGATGCGCATCTGTCTCCAAAGGAAGAAGCTGAAGCGGTGTGTGAATACATTGACCTCAACATAAACTTACTGAGTTCGAAGAGCGATGCTAAAGTGGCTAAGGCTCGAGCGAGGAAGAGAGGTAGACAGCTAGTGAGCCGATCAAATTTCGCTGCTCAAGAGCCGCAAGGATTAATGCAGGAAAGCCTACATCCGGAGCAAAGTGACAATACGTTGAGTGAGCCCGAGGGGTTACCGGCATTACCTGAAGTGAAAAGCTCTAGACCTGAACCATTGCACAACGTGTATAGCAGTGTGTATAGGGTAGAACCATGTTACGCGAGTTCGCCTCGCCCAGATTCGACATCGACCCCAAAACTGAGAGCGACGTCAACATCATCATTCGAGTTAGTTTCCCCAAGAGTACTTTGCTCACGTCTTCTAATGCACAAACGCACATCATCCAAAGAAAGTTTCTATTCCAAGAAGAGTTCGGCTCGCGGCGGATTTACAACACTTCGTAAGAAGAAGGGAAGTCTGGTGACTATAAAGTCTTCTGTCTTTGTTGCCCAAACTCCTGCTCAAAAGATTCTGCAAAGGTTTCAAAACCTAAAAGGCGAGGATAATTAAGTGAAATATTATTGATTTGTTTATTCTAATGATTAGTTTCTTTATATCACATTTGTCTGTTCTGTTGTCTGATATAGGAGTAATATGATAATAAGGTTTAGTTCTTATGTACCTACTTCTGTTAAGTTTTTGACATAATTTTACCATAAGTTAGTAAAATAAGTTGGTAAGATGAAGAAATAATATATAAGTTATTAAAGTAGGTTAGCAGTTAATTGTAATATTGCATTAATTGGTAAATACAAACTCAAAACGAATGTGTTGTCTACATGTTTTATTTAAAATAACCATTAAAATTAAACTAGGACCATTTATTTGGCACTTATTCTATTCGACATGATAAAAATAGCATTACAAAAATAAATGGCACCAAATACATTGTAATAAAATTATTACTCTCGAGATATTATTTCTAATCTAAAGAAGATTGATAAACAATAATAATCGAGAGAATATTTAAGGAAACATTAAATAGGTAGGTACAGTTATTTTAAATTGTCTTTTCATGCTATGTTCACATAATATGCATACCGGTGACAGTTGGAAGTTTCATGTCTTTTATCTTTTTCTAATTTTGTTAAATTATCAACATTTTGTAACAGAGTACATTATCGAAGTTTATCTACGTGACCCTGATCACGTAGGGATTTATAAGTTTCGAAAATGGTTAAATAGCAAACAACAGTTTCTTCTGTTGTCTAATGTTTGGGAGTGACATAGAAGGACATAAGATGTGTTGGAATTATTAAAATTCACATAATTTTTGACCTTTTGAGAGCCACTGTTTTTGTAATCACCATATTATAGCGCAATGTAGCGTAAAGTCCTATTTTTTTTCTTCTTTGGCAACCGAGTCTTCGAAACGGTGTTGACGACCAAAGAGTATAATAAGTATAGGGGTATTGACGACTATACTGCCAGAGTCGAGACGACGAGTGGTGACGATTTGTCCAATTACTGTAGCTGTTGACAGGTTCGACAATAGGAAATTATCTGGAAATATGGTTCAAAACTAATAGAGCTTTTCACAGTATATTCACGTGAGTAACCCGCGATTTTTAGATAATTTAGGAGATTATCTATTAGACTAAGAGGACCTTACACTACACTCCGCTTCAAGCATCATTTGATAATTTAATATTATGGAGTTTTAGCTAAACATCCATTTAGATGCCATTGAAAATCTTATAGTTAAACAATGAGTCAAGTGTCTTAAAAACCGTTAAGATTTAAATAATATTGTCAGCAATAATGACATTATGAGTAAAAAGGTGTAGATACTAAAACCTATTTAGGTTACCTAAACAATATTCGGTCTTCAAAAACGGCACACTTACGCACGTATGAATAGGTACGTATACGGCGCCTGACTGCCTCGTTGGCTGGCTGACTGCTGGGCAAGGGGTCTTGGGTTTGATTCCAGGGCAAAGTATTACTGGATTTTTAAAAACATCTCAATAGTGACACGGCGTCTGGAATTGTGCCCGGTATATGGCAATGGACTCCCTATTACGTGGGACTCATAACACAAATAGTGAAAAGTGGGCGTTGCATTGTATAGTGGCGTTATGTGCATCTCTGCCTACCCCTTCGAGGATAAAGGGCGTGATGTTATGTCACGTAGACGGGGCGCATCTTGACACTATTGTGATAAGCCACATTTTAACGTGCCTTGCTGGATTCTAACCTATCTACACGTCGCGGAGAACCTAACGGATTACCGGGGCTTCGGCTCGACGTGCAGGAGAAGGAACGGGGTGGTTTTTAGTCAGAAAGAGTCTGACACTCCCTCCCACCTCACCCAGGCGGGAGAAGTCATTCGATGATTTTCCCCCCTTAAAAAACTATCTACACCATTTTACTTATAATGTCATTAGCCAACTAGATACAAGAATACGACTAAAATTCTAAAAAAACGAAAATGATCTACGTTCTACATAATTTGACAAGATTATTCAAAGCCAATTGGATAGTGACTAGAATAAGGATAGCAAGATATAGTGCTAGTTATAATAATTGTAGAACTACTCGTGTCAAAGATAAACTAAGATATTTATTTAAATATCACTAATGTGTTAGGAATATTTAGTTCACTGGTTTGGCAAGAGAAGCGAGGATAATTTATAGAACAAATATAAAGTAATTGGTTTACCAATGGTTCATGAATTTCCCTTTTGGTTGATTCTATATCAGACACAAAGAAAATATAATGTGTCTCATTTACTACTACGAACAAATGACGAGTTCATCAAACTGATTTAATAAACACAATCAATTTAAGCAACTGTTTGTTGCCTTATTAATTTCTGTAACAAATGCTAAATAGACAATAACATTGCAAGTAAAGCCATGTATTAGAGAATTACACAAATATTGTATTTTTATTTCATTCCATACAAACTATAATTTCAAATATTTTCCTAGCGTGTTTCAAAATACAGTACGTGCATTCCTAAATTCCTTAGCATTCTTTGTTATCAACCAGCGAACATCAACTAGCATTATACTATAACAACTTTAAATATAATTACAACAATATAATTTTACATTAACGTTTAACATTCAATAATTCCGTCTACAAATATTGCTTTAAACTACGGGAGATAATATAGAAGACAATTGAATAAAGGAGTTAAACTGTGTGAATAATACCGCAGAAATTCACAAAAAGCATTCAGAATTTTGTTAGCATCTAATTTAGTTACATACACATGACAAATGCATACAAGATTTACCATTACTGTCTATGAATGATTGCCCGATAACATTATTAGCCTATTAGCTCCACTACAAAGCAAAGGGCTCTTCACACGATGAAGGAATAAGCATTCATAATGAAGCCGAGGAAACAGCAAAAAACAAATGTCCTACGACACGTGTCACCAGCGACGTTCGGTGAAGTAACTTGATGTTGCCAGACTTCACTCGAGATGTCTGGCAACATCGCGGGACACAACTTTGTCGCCATGTGTGCTAGCCTCAGGCCAGTTTCATGAAGTCGCTTGATTTCGTTTGACGTCGCTGGAGACGTAGGTCGTGCGTTGTCGCCATATGTATACGTCAGGTTACGCTTGACCTGTCGCCGATCCATGTCGTGGGGAATTTGTCTACTAATATATCCTTATTTTACGTTTGCTCAGGCCGGATGGTCGACCACAAGCTTATATTATTAGATATTATAAATCCAGATTAACATAATTATGACCTTGAAAAAGTTATATTGTAACCTATATAGTTTTGCACATAAAAACTTTATTTGAGTAAGACAAAGGTTCAATGAACTTCTCCGTTTTTATTCACACTGTTTATGTTACAGTATTCTTACTTGTATTATAACTTATGTAAGACAAACTAAATAAATTATTATGTTTTCGGCTTACTCACACACGTCACTGCAGCGCGACAGTCGCCGCAAGTCGCGAAATGCTGCTCAAGAATTATGAGCTTCTAGCATGGCTTGAAACTAGTCGAGTTCCTCGTCAAGTAATTACGTGAGTAAGCCGAAAACATAATAATTTATTTAGCATTCTTACTTAGCCAATCAAGATGTACAAAATATTTTTTTATCCTTTCTATTGTTATGTATAACAGTGCTAAAATATTTTATTATACACTAGCGAGGATTTGTGCAATTAAATCTATGTTTTTCAATTCCAATGTTTCATTACAGTTATGTATACTAGGAACACTAAATAACCCTAGCAAAATGGACTGGGATAAGGCATTAACTCATGCGTTTTAATTACAATTTGCAGTTTTTTGCATTCCATTCATTTTGCACCTCTTTAGAGTTTGAATATTAAAATTTATCACTACGATGCTCAATGTGCGTGTCTATTTACTTTTCTACATTTTACTAACGTTGACTATCTATGTGCATTACTAAATGTGTTAGTAAGCATCTACCAAAGTCGACAACATGTCTTCGTCCATACATAATTTTAATAATTTAATTTCGTAATTACTAAGCCAATTCTCACTATAATTTTCCCGATATTCAAGCCTAAATAATGAGTCGAATGCGAAATATTCAAAAATGCCTAATAAAAGCATTATCAGATTACATTGTGCAGATGATACCTTGTCAAAATACTTCCATTTAACTTTCTTAAAAACCAACTTTATTGCAGGACGATAACGTTTAAAATCTTCAGTTGATGAAATTTTTACGGCTTATTTTGGACAGTTTGTATTATTAACTGCTACTCAACATTATGATAGGTACTTTCATGGATAAAGGGGCAGTGACAGAATCGATTAGTCTTAATGCTCTGGGTTAGTTTTAGCAATCACATTGATAGAGATTACATGCATATGAAGTATACATTCTCAGTGTAACATACACGGATAAATTAACCTTATTAATAATTTTATACGATCGTAAATTCAACGATAATTTCAATCTATTCACATGGATTATATAAATTATTGCGAAATAATTTTACAAATGTTTCCATACAATTTTCTGTCCTATGTCCTTTGTTATAAGGATGCCATTTCCATAACAGGTACAAACCTGTAATGGAAATAAGTATGTTGCCTCTACGGCCAAAAAGTGTACACGTATGTATAATTCATACAAAAATATAACAAATATTCAGTATTCAGTTATGGCACTTATTCTCTGACTATTTATACTAATTTTGAACTTTAAGTTTGACTGTTTAAGCTTCGAATTTGCTTGGTGTTCTCTTTTACATAAGTATCAAAGAGTATTAAGTTTTTAGATTTTTTTGGTTTGCATAGCTGCCGTGAAGATTTCGCACGTAACTAAAGGAATGCTTACCGATTAGCCATCTTAATTAAAATCATTCGCTATATGAGTATAATTAAATAATAATTTTATTAACTACATTCAATAAATTAATTTAAAATATGCAAAAATATAGAGTTGCAATTGCAATGGGTACAATAAAACATTTCCGAGTATAAAACCGTAAATAGTCGATATAAATTAAATAGGTTGCGTTTAAAAAACCGACTTCAAAAACGAAAAAGCAGACAGTAATTATTTTTTCGGTATTAAAAACTTAACAAAGGATTGAAAGTTGACACCAATAATATATACGGGACCATCAGAAAATATATTGTGTCAAATAAAAAAAGATTTGACACGGAAAAAAATACCATCTTCAACCCCCTTCCACAAAAACCTTCTAAGTGTAACAAACACTTTACTGAAAACCGTATCAAAATCGATTCAGCGAATCGCGAGAAAATCATGCACAAACATACAAACATACAGGTCAATTGAGAACCTTCTTCTTTTTTGAAGTCGGTCAGAAATCGAATCATAAAATTCTTTTGTTATCGAACCAGTGCCTTTAGCCAAACACCACTTTAGCGCTTGTCTACAGAGAGAGTAAAAAATCAAAATGTATGGGGATGACACTGACAAGTGTCAAAATTTACGTCAATCCCATATAATTTGGTTTTCTATTCTACATGTAGACAAGCGCTTAGTGGCATTTGGCTACAGCTGCTGTGCCTTTAGCCAAACGCCATTTTAGCGCTTGTTTAGAGAGAGTAGAAATCAAAATGTATGGGGATGACACTGATAAACACTGATACGTCAATCCTTACTAATATTATAAATCGGAAAGTGAGTTTGTTTGTTTGTTTGTTCCACTTTCACGCCGTAACTACTTAACTGATTGTTTTGAATTTTTGTAGACGTGAAATTAGAAGTCTGGATTAAATAATAGGATACTTTTTATCAGGGAAAAATTTGATATTCTCGAGGGAAAACGAAATTATTGGTATAGATGGCGCTGTCTGTATTGGTTTATGTCACATAGGCTACTTTTTATCCTTTTGTGACGTGAGCGAAGCCGCGGGTAAAAGCTAGTTCCATATAATTTGGTTTTCTATTCTACATGTAGCATTTGGCTACAGCTGCTGCTCTGTTTTTGAAGTCGGTTTAAAAACTGATGATAATTTTCAATTTGAGATACAATAACATCCAAGAGCGGATACATACGCAATTTAGCATTTTTAAGAGTATTATAATAGTTAAAAGGACAGGTTTACGAGTAATTTTATCATGTACTGATGAGTATGAAGAATAGATGTTTATCTAAGGATAGAGAGATGAATAGTTCTAGAAATTTCTACAATAGGGGCCTTGATAAAGTTACTCTTAATTTAATAATTAATATTGTAAAACCAATCTTAAACGTTGTACAAGCCCACACGCCATTGTTATAACAACTTGGTTGACACAATTACGTAGGATATACATTTTTTTCTATCTATGTAGCACTATATAATATTATAATTCAAGGTTTAATCAGAACGCCCACAGGTGATGGTCAAAAACTAACTTTATTTTTATAAAAGTAAGGAATTAAATGTTTTTGTTATGTAGGTAATAATAGCTGTAATCAACTGTTAAAGGCCGATGTTGCATGAATAAAACATAAACAGAAACGATCAAAATTGTAATATCCATATTTTATCTGCGTTTTGGGAGCGTTCGGTTTGCACCCTGTATACACTTTGTTGCAAAGAAACGGAGCCACTAGCCTTTTTTTCATTTAATTGAACGCTCTACAACTTTAAAAAATAAGTATACTTTTTACAACAAAATGCTCAATTTTAAAGATAACTAAATTGTCCTTTGCACGACATACGTGACCAGTTAATAAAATACATATATCAGTAAATTTTTATCAAGAAATGAAATAGAAAAAAAAACTAGTGCCTCCATTTTTTCGCTACTAAGTGTAGTATTATAATATTAATTTTTTTGCAACTAAGTGTAGTATTACAATAATATGTACACGCATGCAGGCATGTCAAACGATTATTAGTTCTGCTTTAGCAAATCACCTACGAGCGCTAGCGTGGCCTTATCACATAATTATCATAACAGAGGAAAATTAAAAAAAAAAATCTCACTAGCGGCCAGTCTTAATAACGCATTTATATATTGAGTTGGTTTTTATACAGAGGTTGTGTTAAAATTCTAAAATTCTAAATATTTGCTTAGGCGCTGTAGAATCTAAAATGACGGTAAATAGTCACGGCAAGGTAAAACAATAGTCACCTGCCCTCCTCTTCCCCATGGGTGCTGTTGGAGCCGATTAAGGGACTATATATTTAACTAGACTAATGCAGCTGCGCTCTCCGATCATTCTGTACCATTAGTACGAATTTCTTATACGTTTACCGAGATCGAAACGAGACCGTATTCGGAGCTCAGAGGCCTTAGTACGAGTTTGATTTAAGTGTTAAGTATTCGAAACTAGTACGCGTTCGGCACTCTGATTGGCCGGCGCCAATGAACCAACCAATCAGGGCGCTGAACGCGTACTCGTTACGAATACTTTAAACGTAAAAAAACTTGTACTAAGGCCTCTGATTGGCCGGCTCTAATGAACCAAATAATCATAGCGTCTAACGCGCTCTCGTTTCTTTCCTTCAAGCTTGGAGATAATATCAATTTCAATTTCTTTTATAGAGAAGGCCCACACTCCAGATGGCCAAGCACGAATAACTATCGCATTCGTATCGTAACAGTATCGAGCGAGTTAAGCGTTCCAATTGGTCGATTCACTTGAGCCGGCCAATCAGAGCGCCGAACGCGCTCGATACTATTACGTGAATGCGATAGTTATTCGTGCTTAGCATTCAGTTCACTCTCACGGACTTTCGATAAAGAAGAAATTTTTGAGATAGTTTTTTAGACTGGCCGTATGTGAATTAGTTCTGTACCTATTATAATATAGCAAACCTAATCGGAATGGTTGTGTTGAGCGATAGACTTTCTTCGGGACCGGGTCGGTGGTTGTGGAGTGCTTGACTTCTTGTAGTAGATGGCTGTTCCCAGCACTGCAGAGCTCAGGAGTGTTGACACCAAGAAGTTCAGCAACAGCTTAAAGTCTGCCGAGTCCACATAGACCGTGAATATGCGGGCTGGAAGCAGGTAAAGTTAAGTAAATCATCACCAATCATCAACAGTAGGTACATTTATTTATTTACTTTCAAAACAAGCTTTTAAGCAGCTCCGCTTTTATAGTCATGAAATTAGGCACTTTCCTTAGTTAAAATTAAATATTTCGACTGTTCAATACAACAAATTATTAAAAAATAATCACACTTTTATTAATTGATTTTGTGACCAATTTAAATTTAGTATTTTTTCGGATATTCTTTAAGAAATAAGTATGCTGTTTGACGCTAAAAAAACGCGACTTCATAATATACAATCTCGTAAAAAATTCATAGAAAACTGTCGTTTTTGACAGTTCGAAAAAAGTATTGAATTTCTCTAGTTGTCAAGTACCTAATTTAAACATGTATAATTATAAAATTTCAGCTCAATCAGTTGAAGATAACCGCTTCAAAATTTAATTGCAAGATTCCACTTCTGACACATACATTCATACATTATACATTGCATATACATATACAAATAAATAAAATAACGAGTGTCTGTTTGTAATATTACAATAACCACTTTTTGCCACATGCATATGAATATACATACGGTACACATACCAAAATAACATTAATACAATTTTTGTCTGTCTGTTTGTACTGGCTAGTCTCTGGAATGGCTGGATTGATTTTGACGGAACTTTTATTGGCAGATAGTTGATTTACCAGGGAGATGAGCTACTTTCATTTTGGAAAATTGAAACAAAAAAAGGTTATGTCCTTAAATTCATATTTCGCTGACAACTGCTAGTATTAAATACAATCTTATAAACACGCTGCTTTCCAATGGGATTTTATCCTGGAATACGTGTGCATTTACAATCGTCACAATATCTCATGTACAATTAGTGGATCACATGGGCAGTAGCTAGTCACCCAGACAGGCCAGACGCTGCGCCAACAAATAGTGTCGTTAATGACAATGCTCCGGCTAGTGCTAAAGATGTCCATTGTATTATAAAGCTTTAAAAATGTTTATTTTATTTAGTCCGCATCCGCAGGGTATGTCATAGGTAAGTATGTACTTTCATAACACCACATCTTAGGTACATTTCCTGGCGAAGAAGCCCTTTTACCTTTGTCTTTTTGAAAAATAGAAAATGCAACAACTATCTGTTTCTCTGCGAATCAGATTCTAGCAAAGAATTTCCCTCGTTTAGTGTTTATAGTGTTAGTTTACCTAGTAAGAAAATAACACTACTCACCTAAATTTGTGGAGACGGATATCACCCATGTCGTCAACGAAACCGCGTCAGCATTCTGTTCTTTTATAATTCCATAGATATATGTCACCTTCGCGAAGCCGCTCAGAGGAGTACAGAATGGCTGGAATTTAAAACAAAAGAGATTTAGTAGTCTAGAACTTTAAACCGAAATGTGTAGAATTATCAATGTAAGATAATGCATCAGACCGAGGTACATCCTTAGGTCTGCTATTATTTTTCGCGTGATGGCCATCGTTAGGTACATTATTCTTCTTACTCACGTTTTACACATAAACCTATATATTCATACAATATCGTTAGTCGACCGTTTCATTCAGGACAAAATAATAATTTCGTCATATCGGAAAGCCTAATGACTTTTTATCGAACCTCAGAGCCTAGGTCTAGACAGACCTCTGAGCCGATTACCCACACTTAAACAACTAGACGACCCAAAATAATAACTTCCAAAATATTTATGAAGAAGTATCTCTGATAAAACATAATATCTTTTTAATATTAATGACCTTAAACACAATACCAATAAGAGGATACAATGAAAGATCACAAAAGGTCAGGTCTCTAATAAAATTGGCTAAGGAAATTACAAGAGTATAGCATTAGATGCGAATACTTGGCAGTGAACGGTCTGTTAGCTAGTTGATATAATTCCCTGAGGATGTCGACAATCAAAGCCCCGGCTCTCGATTAGCATCGCATCGCTTCACTCAACCATCGCTAACAAGCTGACAACTGAAGTTCAAGTGTAATTGTATATTGTGTTTCACGTTGCGAACAACACGTGAGATAGAAGGTCAGGAGTCAAGATACAATAGTGCTTTCCTCTACTCCATGTAACAGAAGGAAACAACAGAAAAGTAAAAAAATGCGTTTAAAAACAACGATGTCAAAAACTAAGAACAAACCAAAAGTAACTATTACTGATCATACGTATAGCTTACACACCTAGTGATAGGTGAGAAGTCGTTGCTACAAACCCATAACAAAATATCCGCAACCGATAACACTATTAAATAAAAAAGATTTTTTGATATCGGTCCCGGCGTCTTCGAGAAATCTAGTAAGAAACATAAAAATAAATATACAGTCGAATTAAGAACCTCCTCCTTTTTAAGTCGATTGAAAATACGCTTATCCGTCTTAATAAAACCTACACTATAGAGACAAATACATCGCAAAATCAAACTTCACCTTTGCCCGAAGCAGTTGAACTCATAACCTCATTTAATTTTAATTCATCAAATGGAAACCGATGCGTCTATTGCGACTCATCAATCCATCTTGACACGAATGCAGTATATAAGCAAATTGCATATAAACAAGGGTCTATGTAGTCTCATAATTACTATGTACTCAGTATCCAATTTCACCAGCCAAGTGAGCTATTGACAAGTCATTGGCATATTGTACAAGGCATCAACTGTTTGAGTACTGTCAATTGAGTGCAACGACTGACGCGATGCATAATAACATGCAATTAGGGTACAAAGTGACAATGTTGTCACTTGTACCGTTTCCTTTCAATTGATAGTGGTTCGGACCTATTTGTAACTGATTAGAGGCACTGGTTGGGTGTAACATTTCACTGTTGAAATTGAATCGCTAAGCAAGGTGTCTTATTACGGTGTATGGTTAAGTAATTTAGCAATTTGCAATAAAAGCGTAAAGTCTGAACTTATTCCTCGTGGAGGAAAATGGCTGACTTCTACTCGATATCTACTTAACATAGGTATAGTGACCGATTGCGTCTTCCAAAATATAACGTTATACCAATATAAAGATCAATATCAAGGTCAAGATGCAACTTGCCTGCGTCCTGCATACTGCAATTTAGAACCTACAGTTAATAAAAAACAAACAAACGGGTGACTTTAATTTCCAATCACTTCCTACAGCTAAAATCTGCGAAATTAAATTCATTAATGAAGGGACAACCTGCGAGTCACTCATATCTAGTCCATAAATTAGCCTTTATCAAATTATCACCAACGCTGTGTTCATATCAAAGGATTAACATATTACACTTTACAGTATGTTATCTTAACTGAAGACAGGATACTGGTATACCTACATTCAACTAACACGTGGAACTGAGAATTTTATTGAACAATACTTATGAAAAGTATGAGAACGCATAGTTCTGAACTAGACTACACGTGGCACTTACATCGCGCTGTTATGCACCAGAAACGTGGACTTTCACAACTCGTGCTCCCCTCTTCCATGACAACTTTTAGGGATATATTCTGAATGTTAAACAAACTTTTTCTTGAACTCTATAGCAAACGTTGGCACGAGATGCATTTGAGCGATGAAAACTAGAAGGGCGAAGTGCAATAAAATATCGAACAACATACTTTTTGGAGAATCTTTTACATACCTACCTACAATATTTACACCTTTAAACGAGACATTACGATTTATGCTGGAATACTCAAACGTTACTCAATTTTAAGTTGTACTCAAATATCGTGCCATCTCTGTCATTTCACAAATAATTTGTATAGATAGAACTATACTTAAGCACGACTTAAAATTGAGTAACGTTTCTGTATTCCGGCATTAATATACCATCTGTCGTTTCTATCCACTGATTTTAACTTATTGTACTGTAACTGTGATGTTAGTGACTAGCATAATTGGATTATGAACAGCCGATGCAAAATGAATTATGGCTAAGAGTGGGTGACAGAATTATTACCAGTATACTGATCAAACTGGCCAATATAGGCCGAGGAAATCTAAAAAAATAGCCTGGAATTGTGTCTGACCCGGCCTCTGGCAATAACTTCGCCCTCTAAACTTTTACAATGGAGCAAAAAGTAGAGAAAAATATATGTTCTGTCTAATCCGAGACCTAAGATTCACGTGCTTTTTAGAACAAAGGAGTTTGAGTATTAAGAAAGGTAGTCTATACAAAACTAACAGTGGGAAGCGAAGCTTAGCATTAAAATCAGTCGACCATAGCATTTGTAACTAAGCCACGAGTATCTTGAAAACCAAAACATTTCACACGGGTGCATTGGAAGTAGAATAAGACGAAAAGGTTTTAGTTTAAAATCTTCGTAACACGTGGAAGCATTCTTGGTCGTGCTTAAGCCGAGCAAAAGAAGCAGCATCCGTAGCATAAAGGGAACATGCAAGTTTTATATTAAAACGTACACACACACATCGAGCTTTACATAACCAGTATAAAGTGAACGTTAAATGTGCGGAAAGATGATGTGACGCGACACCAGGATAAAGTAGTTTTGTATAGATTGATGTGTGGCCGTGTGTCCAATACAAACACATCGAATGCCATCTTCAGGCATTTGAGCACTTAAATATACAAGTATTGCGTGAAAACCACAACGAGGCGATTTAGTTTACGCGTTTTATTACATAGTTTAAACATAACTAATTATTAATTTACTAGCGACCCGCCCCGGCTTCGCACGGGTACCATATGCACGTATAATACATATGAACCTTCCTTAAGAATCACTGTATCAATTAAAAAAACCGCATCATCATCCGTTGCGTATAGTCAGAATTTTAATTAGATTCCAGATTTGACAATAGCTACTGTCATTTTGTGAAATAATGATACCACATATAATAGTGTAGTGATGAACACAAAAATCGATAAACAATCAGTGTGTGTGTTTTATAATAAATGTTACAGAAAGTGACAGGATAGCGATAGCGATGACGGCGACAATTTATAAAATAACTTATTACCATAATACATCTATCTGTTTTATTTGTCATGTTCCTTCATGATTACATTTTTTTATTTATTTTACACACAATTATAAAAGAAACGTCTCAGATCGTTAATTAATCGTCAAAACTAAATTATCGGTTCAGAAATATTTAATTTCCTGATATACTTCGTTCACGAGAGTAAAATTATAATTATTATAAACGAGAAGAATCGATCCAGAAATATTGCGTTTCCATATCGAATAATTTCGCAACGTCACTATTTAGTACTTGTCATAACGTTGCCACACTGAAATTGTCAAATCTGGAATCGAATTAAAATTCCAAGTATAGTTTTAAAGATCTAAGCATACATAGGGACAGACAGACGGCAGATAGCGACTTTGTTTTATAATATGTAGTGATACCCATATCACCCTAGTAGTGACGGTAGAATTAAATACAATATTGACCAACCCTGCTGTTCCCGCGGTTGTCGCGAGACCACTTAAGGGACAACATATTTAACAAAAACTAAGCTACAGCGATCTCTGTTAAACCTAATCTTTTTAAACTACCATGTCCAACCAAGTTTTCTAAACGTGGAGTTAATGGTAAACCTCTTTTTTGTAGAGGAGACCCATTGTCCAGTAGTGGACTCTAACGAATTGTTTATGATAAAATGAAAAGTTGAGCGTCTCACACGTTAATAAAAAAATAAATTCTAATATACAAAAAAAAAATTATAGTACTGCCTCGTTGGCCAAGTGGTCACTGCCGGGCAAGGGGTCTCGGGTTCGATTCCCGGGTCAAGCACAGTGTAGATGAGTTTTAAAAAAAATCTCAGTAGTAGCACGGAGTCTGGAATTGTGCCCGGTATATAGCAATAGGCTGACCCCCTATTACATGGGAGTCATGACATAAATAGTGAAAAGTGGGTGTTACATTGTACAGTGACATAATGTGCACCTCTGCTTACCCCTTCGGGGATAAAAGGCGTGATGTTATTTTATGTAAAAATTAGGCATCAGTTTACCAACTTAAAATTCTATACTGTATAGATAAAAATAATCACATCTAATCGCAAAGAGGAATAGGCATGTTCAATTGCTCACTGTAAAATCATATACACACACACGCCACAATCCTCGATAGAATATAATTAAAACTTTACGACTTTTAAATCGAAACAAAACATCGTACCTTTATCGCACAGTACATTGTATGACTATTTTATACATATCTTGGCACAGTACCGATATAGTCTAAATAGGAATCTCTGGCTGAATAGGAAATCGAAATGTACCGTTAATTAATACTTAGTAGTTACGGCTATTAAAAGTAGGTAAATGTTCTTGTTTGTGGTGGCCGGAAGGTTAAAACGCCCGCTTCTCATGCATGAGGCGGGTTCGAAACCTACCAAGGCAAGTATCAATGTGACTTTTCCGAGTTATATGTACTTTTTAAGATTATTTAAACACCACTGACAATCTTTGAAAGAAAACATCGAGAAGAAACTTGGACTTATAATGTCTAATTATAAGTTTGAAATCACCAACCCGCAATGAGCAAAGTGGTTGGTGATTAATGCTCAAACCGTCTCCGTGTGAGAAGTGACTTTGCTCAGTAGTGGGCACTTATAGGCTGTAGATGATAAAATATTCTTGTTTAGATATAGAGAGAAATACAAAACGCAGGTTTACACAAAGAAGCACCTAATACTCCTAATTCGTCATTGTCAGTTACACTTACCGAAAATTAATAGTTAATAAGGCGATGGCGACTATCCAATAATACTTAGGTATAGGTGTGCACAATCTTAATTTATTAGACTACAAATGTTAAAGAACAACGTCGCATCGGGCTATTTGGATAGCGACCAAAATAATAGCAGAGAATAAAATATTAATCGCTTATCGCAAATTAATTACGCATCGAGACTATGAAAATAATTTATGTCGTGTATGCTAACAATTTAATTTTGAAGATGTTTGTCTCATATAGGTAGGTAACTAGGTACGTAATTATGTTTGTTTATTGATTATTTTGTGTTCGTAATATTACTAAGATACGTAATTTTATAACGTCATGTCTTTTAATTCCCACACAGGCTAGGCAGAGTGAGAGGTACTCATAAACAGTACCGTCTTATCATAGGAAACTTGGGGCCCGTGTCCAGGGGCCAAGGGACCCCAACGTTGGCCCCTGGACACGGGCCCCAAGTTTCCAGTTTCCAGGCACACACTCACTACACGTTGTGCGCCAACTGGCTGCCCCGCAACGTGTAGCGAGTTCGATTCCCGCACGAAACTAATGTTTGTATGATTCACAAATTGCTTCGAATTGGTTAGTTTCTAGGGTACCATATTTATTAATTCGATAGCATTCATTTAATAGGCTCCAAAACTATCGGTCCGGTTTAAACACAATAAAATAAAGAAGTCTGTATTCTGAAATAAACATGTGGTTTAAAAGGTGCTTTTAAACGCTTGGCAACAAATAAGATCATCTAATGAGTCATACAATATCGTCCATTGTAGTGTCTGTACCTCGTTGTTTTTGTACGTAACACTTGGTAACGCAAATCTGTTCATATTTGTTTGAAACAAATAATCTAGGAAAACTATAGATAAGAGTAAGTATCGTATTTTTAACAATAAGTCAAATACAATAGATCAATTTATGGGCATTAAAATATTGACTTTATTTACTTTATTAATGTAACCTGATACATAGACGGTAATCATTTCGTACATATTAACTATAGCATCCAAGTTTTATAACAGGGATAAGCCTATTGCTATAGGTATCCTGGACGACTGGATACAATCCCAGACTCAGTCCTACTGCAGAAACTGTTTTTAAATCAAGAAAAGCTTTCGAGACCACCGACTCTAAACTATAAGTTGATACAATAATAATACAGGACTTTGCACACTCGGTGAGATAAAAGCCTTTATAATTTAAGGTACAATACGTAGGTTTACAATCGCTTACTTATACATTATAAACTCCTTGTCTTATCGATGATCATTCAGCCGGTAAACTGTAATGTGTGTGGACGTCTTGCGCACGTCAAACGAATTAGGATCGTGTCCTATATTAAATAAACATATGAACTACATACATAATTGATGTAGATGAGAACATTTGCATATAAAACGAATCGATGTGATTGGAAATTCCAAAGTCTCGATGTTGATTGCACTTTCACTTGATTTGAGTCTTAATGAAATTCATTTGGCAGTACCAAGAACAAGTGATTACAGAACCAAGTGATTCAGTAGGTATTATGTTGGAATAGAAACCCGTGAATCTGTGCATCGGAGAAGGTCGATCCAGACCCATAGCCGTCGCGAGAGACACTCCGGGCGTCGTGCGGACGTGCGGACAGCGAGCATGGGTGGCCCCCCGTCCGACCAGAAACAGACCCGAACGTACGGCGCATCATGTTCCGCGCGGGCCTCAAAGAGCCATCAGACTACCACGGATGGGGCCCAACAGCGCTGATGCCGATTCGGAGTCGCGGAGAACCTAACGGGTTACCGGGGCTCCGGCTCGAGGTGCAGGAGATGGAACGGGGTGGTTCTTAGTCAGTAAGAGTCTGACACTCCCTCCCGCCTCACCCAGGCGGGAGCAGTCATTCGATGACTTTCCCCCTTAAAAAAAGTGCGGGTCTGCGGACGGCGAGCACGGGTAGCTTGCCGCCCAGAACCAGACCCGTGCGATCGGCGCGTCGCTTTCCGCGCGCGCCTATAAGAGCCATTAGGCCACCACAGATGCAGTCAGAATTAGCAGTAGGGCACTAGCCCTACTGCTAATTAGGATTCTGTATAGCCAAATCAACGGTGTGACCCGATCATTAATAAATGTAGCGCACCCCAAAAATAGTCTAAAGATGATTTTTTATACAGGTAATAGAACTTAAATCTAAACTAGCGCCATCTGGCCAGTGCAAAAATTAAAATCCTCACGTCACCCGCTGTTTGGACCTCAGCAGCACTGAATCATGGATACTTTAATGATCATGTATCACGATATATGTATTATGTATGTAGTGTAAACTGTGGTGATCTACACGCTTATTCCAATGCATACGCTAATATGGGTAACGAATGAATCATTATTGTTTACTGGTATATCGTCTAGACTAAACTAATTACGCTCCAATATATTTTAAATTTTTGGCGACCGTTTATCATTTCTCTCTTTTCAAAAGTGAAATATTGCCATATTGTTCTAGACCTAGATAGAATGTTCCCTCACTCAAACGAAAAGAGAACACAGGAAAACTATTATTTAAGTAGTTGTCAATAGTAAACTTAACCATAGTAAGAATGTTGTTTTCGTATAATTGAGTTACAATGATGAAGAAAATCCAAAGTGAACGTAGTTATGGACTGCATTCACTTTGAAATACACTGATCTAGTAATTGAAAAGATTTAAAAGAACCAACTAGTTCCAGTAGTCATTCAAAAGAAGTTTGTTGCTCGTTCCTCTAAAGGAATCTTCACTAAATGAAATCTTCCTTTACAAACTGACTTACAATTCTATTCTGAATCTTATCCTTGACGGTGTATTTAAATTAAATGTTTCACAATGCAATTTAATCTTGTTTTAAAGGAGAAACACGTGGAAATTAACAATAATTACGTAAATTTTGAACCTGTTCATTTAAACTCGTCATAGGGAGCATCATCGCTGACCAGTAACCACTAGGCGAGACAGTGGTCAAACGCCAATACCATGACATATACAAAACTAGACCTGGATACGGTGACATATCGATAACAAAGTCGACGATCAACATGGGTGTTATGACAAACCCCTTTTTTAAGGAACAAGCCGGCAAACGAGCAAACAGATCACCTGATGGTAAGCAATCGACGTCGCCCATAGATACCTGGAACACTAGAGGCGTTGCAAGTGCGTTACCGGCCTTTTTGGTAAAGGAATTTGAGGATTGTTGGAGATTCAGGGATTGGGGAAGCGGGATGGGAAGGTTATTTGAGCTCTTCTTAATACCAGCAGCCCCCTAAAAATTATCTACGTGGCTTGACTACGAACCTCAAACTGCCTGGGGCAGACCCGCCTTTACTCGAGTGGCTTTTATATGATGACAATAAAAATGATTGTAATCAAGTACTCACCACGAGATATCCAAGCAAACCCTTCGGTAGAGTGCCCGTCACGAAACCGATGACAGCGGAGAAGTATGCAAGAGTACTGAGCGGTACCGCCGAAGAAGCCAGCATTTTCTTAAACTTGAGCACGTAGTAGAACATCACGTACACTTGCAACAATATTATCGGATACTCCAGGTACGTCATGATGCCGTAGTTGTTTGTAAAGTTGTATAATGTCATTATGGAGAACCTGCAAGAAATAGGGGATATTAGTACTTAGGTACGATTAGGTACATTTTCTGCATCTATGACGAATTGCCTCTAAAATTCAGTTACGCGCTTCGCATGGATAAAGTTGGAACTAACAATTTCACTTTTTTGAATTTACTCGTAGGTATATGTAGTTTATTTACAGCAAACATGGTAAGTAAATATGAACTTAGTTATAATCTAAATCTGAAATCTCGATTTCGCTTTGAGGATTTGTGGTGCTTAGAACCAGCCTTCGTAAATATGCTATCGAGATGTCATCTGAAACGTAATAAATATAACTAATTTCGCATTGCAATTTGCACGTAAACTTCAGTTGATTGCTAAAAACCTACAAATTAAGATCAAAACAGAGAACAATTGACGTCAAAGTGATCTTTGACGTAGAGAAGAGTTTAATTTACAATGAATTGTTTCACAGTTTCATTGTAATTGTTTACATTTACTTTTTCACTGTATTACATAAGACTGTAATAAGTGTGTCATAACCATTTAATCATTAACTAAGCAAGCAGGCTTGCATACATGAAATGTGTGCATAGTGACGGCTATTTGTTAAATAGTTTGAACATCATGAGATATTCTTAGAATGTAAAACGTATGTTATCTAGTTCATACTGGTACTGGTTAGCCTGGCGAACCTCGCCTGTGTGAATACAAATGTACCACAGACTAATTTTCAAACCTTCTTCATATGAGAAGGGGCTAATCATCAGTGAGCACTTATAGGCTGATAACGACAATAAAAAAATATATGTTTTTATAATAACTATCGTGAGACATACTAAATTAAGTAAAACCGCGGGTTACTCACGTGACTGAGCTGCGCGACGTCGCCGTGACCGCGCACGCTGCTCATGAGGAAGAACCCCTCTGTGGTTCGAAACTAGTAGAGCTTTTCTCAGTATATTTACGTGAGTAACCCGCGATTTTACTTAACAAAAATTTATCATTATTTGTTTTTTTTTTTTAATTCCGTTTGACCGCTATCTCAGCTAGTGATAAGCGATGATGCGGCCCTACAATGAAGCACGTCGACCCAAAAGCGACCTACTCACTCAGACTTTAAAGACACCCAGGTTAAACCCCTCTGGAAATACACTCTGGCAAAGACTTCCACTCCTTAGCAGTTCGTACCAGAAAGATTGAAAAGAAGCGCTCTATGCAAGTGGTTGGGATATCCACCATGAAGCTGTGGTATCGCGCAATATAGAATGAGTTACAAGAGCATTGCCGACCTTTGGGGCAGAGGAAAGGGGAATCACAACGCTTGCGTTTCACGCCGATTTGTCAGAAGGACTGTGGTATCACTCCGGTGGAGCTGGTCCGTTCATGCTGAAGCATGGCTCTCTCGCGTAAACTTAAAATAGACGGAACAACTGGAGGATACCCAATTAATAAAATGATACGATCACGCGACAGTTTAAAATTGTGAATTCTAAAATTTAATTTAAAAGAATTTAGAGTCAAAGTTCTTTATAATTTAACAACATAATTAATGACTGTACTGACTGACTCTTTGGTGTATCAATGTTTGCGGCCGCGTAATCAAATATCGCGTCGCCGTGGAAGCAACTATCTATCTACATGTTCTTCAATTTCTATTGAAATGTGACATAAAATATAAAAATATAATCTTAATGCGACATAAACAGTTTATTGTATATTGAAATACAGTGTTTTATGCGCACTTTACCTTTTATATTTTCCTAATAGACCATTTAACGGCACAATAAACAAATCATATTATTATTAAATTAATAACTGATGAAAACAATAAAGGATAAATGATAAGGAAATAGTTATCCTCATATTCAAAACTGTGAAGTTTCAGTATAACACGTACCGGGAAGTAAAATAACAATGCATTTGAATACTACATAACTCTCTTCTTTTCTAAACAAACTTCTGACTGCAACTTTGTATGCGCAATCTCGTTTTTTCCCGTTCGTGATTTTCGGTAAGGAGCAAAAAATGAGTATTGGATAAAGTATCCTATGTCCATCTCCTGTTTCTAAGCTACCTCATCACCAATTTTCATACAAATCAAAGTTCATGAGTTATACTTAGTGTAACTAACACGACTTCCTGCTATATATATAAGATTAAATATGTGATAGGTAGATAAGGGAGATCTGTTTATTATGTTGGACAAACATAGTTAATAAGTTGCACTAAATTGTAATATTTAATTAAAGATCATCATCACCCTGAAAATAATTATCCCCTGCTAGAGGTGGCTCTAAAGATATCAGAAGTGTATTAACCATAATCCCCATTCTTGGCAAACAGTGTAGTACCAGTCTTATAGAACATTAACAAGTCCAAATGTTGTTATTTAACTCACACCTTCTATCTAATTTTTTAAACTAAAAGGTTCATTAACAATTCCTATCTTTATTGCCCACTACAAAAATATAGGTCAATTAACACACACAATTAAAATTAAAAAGTCTATGACGAGCAGTACCACTTGTAGTTATCAAGTACTTAATAAATTCGCAACAATCTTCATTAATCTTAAGACCAGATAGTATACTATAACCTACTTTTCTAATCACTTTAATAAAAAAGAGGTTGGCTATGAACTCACCCAAATATTTCCATAAGCATAGCCTGTATGTAGATTCCTTCTGCCGATTTCTTTTTTTTTATGTACATAATCTGTGGCACTTTGAGGAAGAGGCATGACAGTATAGTCAGGGTGCTGAGTATATTTGCAAAATGCTGTGAGATTGTGTCCTCCATGGTTTGTTAGGTTACTGCTGGCTGAAAATAAAATATTTTCTTAGCAAATAGCAGTCTAAAATAGTATGGTAGTGACCGTTATTCACATAATAAAAATACTAAAATAAATGTTAGAGGAATGTGGTTATCAGATTTGTAATGATAAAAATATTTTGGAAAATACAGTTTGATATCTTACAAATATGATGTGATAGATAATACAGGTAGTACAATAAAAATCAATAACAATATTTTTGGAGCCAATGTTTTAAATGCAATTGTATTTAGTACATTACAGTAAATACAGTTATTTAAATAGTCCTAGTAAGTAAAAACTTACTTAAACACTGCTCAAATGGACTTAAACATAATTAGGAAACTAGCATAAAATACTAGAATCCTAAAATAATCCAAAAATAACAAACCTGTTTAAAATTAAAACGAATTTATAATCAAATTAAATAAACACGCGTAGGTGCACTGATTTAAAAGAGTATTTGGATACGAGTCGTAAACATTTGAATTCGTATTACATGAACAATACACGGTTTACATTTCTAGCGGGAACGAGCAATTTGATACAAGATGTTGCCCTCTACTAGTGCCAAAGGTGTTCCTCCGGCACTCAATCAAATCAACCGCTGTTTTACACTTGATATAATGCCAAGGTCAGATCATTTTTATAACGTCCACATTACTTACCGATGGATGTTAAAAATATTAGGTGTATTTACACGTTTACAAATGAAAACTGGGCAAGGAACCTTCCCCTGTGTAACGAGCGATAATATCAACTATTTCTGGCGACATTGTTATTTATAATTCAGTGAGAACTTTATATAAATCGAATTTTAATTTAATCTAAATCACCAAACTTCATTTTTTTTAACGTCGTGTTTGACGGTGTTGACGTATGCGCTTAATGTTGCCAGCGTTCAACGTTAAAAAATTTCACAATAAAATAATTAATACATACAAATACTCATACGTTTTTAATTAGAGATCCAGTTTCACAGGTATATGGAATAGTATAAACCCACTATTATATTAGAGGGTCGCTCTGAAACGAGATCCAACAAGCGCGACGCAAAAGATATGCACACCTACTAATCAACGTGTGACCTGGCATACAGTAATTTTTCAAGTTTTAATAAGAGTACGCGTTCAACAATTTATTATTAAAAGTTCATAATTCGACGAAAAGTATAAAATTTCTTGGCATGATAATCGCGTATTATTACGACATTTTGAATACCGCGTTTGAGATATTTATGTCTGTTTGTCATTAAATAGGTACTTGTCAACACCAATATTTCACCCTTAGACCACATATAAGCAACCCATTCACTAGGGTTTTAAGTAAACCCAGGTTAAACGATTCTGATACTCTGGCAAGGAAATTCTTTAAAAAAACGAAGAAGAACCCTTCGTGTATTTGAGTGGGATATCCACTAAAAGGCAGTGAGGTCAGTGGGTCGTCTTAGGGGTAAGGAGTTTACGACTAAAAAGAATTTTCATCAAAAATTAAAATTCTTATAAATGGTTAGTTTTTCATTTTCATCGATTAGTATACCTAATAATAAAGCGAAAATCATCTGGACACCTTTTGTTTAGGACTTCAGGTTCGCGCCTGAAAATGAGCTCTAAAGGTCAGTTGGCGAAATATGGAAAAAAGCTTTTTTACCTTGTGAGGGTCGCAGTTCTAACCTAACCTAACCAAATGTGTCGGGGTGCCCAAAAAGTGTTTTTACACACTCCCCCAACTGACCTATTTGGCTCATTTTCAGGCGAACCTGAAGCCCTAGATAAAAAGTGCCCAGATAACATTCACCTTATCTTTAGGTATACTAAACGATAGAAATGAGAAACTAGCCACTTATAAGAATTTTCATTTTTAATGAAAAATTTTCTAAGTCCTCGTGCCATAGCGCCCCTAAGGCTACACTCTAACCGGTAGTGATTCTTTGTCTTTTAAGTGGTGGTACAATAATGTAAACGACTGGTACACTCTCAGAAATATATTCATTAAAAGGTAATTTTCGCCTATACTAGATGCTTTGATGCCTCCGAAATGAGAATATTGCGCACTTCTAGGTGATCTTAATATGGCAGCTTGCGTTTAGCGAGCCGTTTCAAAGTATAAAGCAGTACCTCTACGGTAACTGTTTATTATTACACTGTTATTATTGTTTGTTTACAATACTAAACCTGTGTAAGATTTTTTTTGGTATCAGAACGTACTATAATGATATTAGAATTAGACTAAGTAAGCTCGTTGTTTTAATGTGTAAACCAAAATTATTATCTCATCATAACGCTCTTTGGAAACTAATAATTTAGTACAACATATAAATAAATAGATAAAGTAGATATTATACTAACCCGGGACGAATTTTATTTTTTGGCAACCCTAAAATTTTAACTGTCAAACGGATAGTTTTGCACAACACGAACCTAGATGGCGTTACCTGCTATAAAGTAAAGTCATCAGTACAATGTGATTAGATTTCATTATAATTTTAGCAGTTTTGCCAAAGGTATTGTCTTTATTGATATTTTACGATATGACAAATAGATTGAGTAATAAACTGGTAATCAAGTTATTTAAAATAGTAACAAATCGAAAAAAGTACATTTATTGAGGATGTATTAGTTGACGTGCAATTTAAATCCCTTCGTCTTATCTAGAACACTCTTATTAAACCGTCAATGACGTCATCAGTACTTATTCTCCGTGGTTTCCATGGTTACCGAGCTATGTACCTACTTGTTGAAGTACCTACCATCCTATCTATTTACCTAATAAGATGACCTAAGTATAATTTACACTGTGCTAGTCCTAACAATTGCTATAAATTTATAGATAATTATATTAAATGCCAGGCAAAGCTCTAGAATAGTTATAAGTATATTTGTATCCACTCAATATTTCCACTCACTCTGCTTACGCCTTTAAGAACATTATGTATTTGTACCATTTCCTAACAAAGTGCATATCGCAGCTTTAAATTTAATGCGACTTTAAAACAGTGTGAAGTTTCCACCTGTGCGGAAAGCCCGCGAAATTCAACAGTTGAACGAGCTTTCTTCGACCTTGTTCTAAACTCCTTATAAACTATTTGGTTACTTCAATAAGTAACCCATGTAAAGTTATACTACCATTTAACTACTAACATACTTGACAAAGGATTTCGTCATATTAACTGTCTGTTTTATGTCGGTCTCATCTGTCGTCATCCGTCTTCGTGTCGCCATTACAAGCATGAAGTTTCCCCTAAAGCCTGCGCAATGGGGCAAAACTACCCCACGGCGCATTTCCCTTCCCCCGCAAAGCTACCCTTCCTCAACTGCCTATAAAAAGGAATTCGCGCCCCGATATTTTTTAATAACTTCTTGACGGTAGGACGGTACGGCAGTGTTTCGCGATCACCCTCCCCTCTGGCCAAGTGAATTTTAAAGTACTTTTCCAGTTTTAAACTGCAGTAAATCAATTCGAGTCTCAATAAAAATTTTCAAGGTGCACTTTAAGCTGTTTTAAAGTGTACTTTTAATAGTTTCTCCTTGTATTTTCGATAATTACGATTCTACATTCGCCGGCGCTTTGGTGCCAACAAGTTGGTGTCCCTAAGGTGAGTGAACGATGTTTATTTGTTATTATTTTTTGACCTATGATTTGCGCTCGAGAATTTGGAGGCAGTTTATTGGTTCAGAGCAATCACCCATCACCAGTAACCGGCGACGGTACGTGCTTGTTTTTATTTTTTATACACTGGAGCCGAAGTTGGAGCTGGAGTCGGTTAAACTTTATTAAAAAAAAATTACAACTTTCCGATCTTCGCTCTGATAGGTATGGTATATAAAATCAGACGATTTTTTTACGAGTGGAAAACAAAACTAAGAAATATAAAATAAAACAAAAATAGTTTTGTTTAGAAATCAGAATAATTAATAAAGTGATGTTATTTTGCAAAAATTCCGAGATTATGACAAAGTACATTCGTAGTGCACCGTTTTACATGCACTCAGCTCAATTTATAGAAACTTTTCTGATAAATTCGAGTTTATGGTTTAAATATTAAAATATTTTTTTCTATGAAATTAAATTCCATGAGTAAATATAATAATTGGGAATATGTAATTAAAAAAAAACTGCACAAAATTCAAATTTGTTGACCGCTAAGATAAATTTAAAATATGATTTCTTTTTAACCGAAATTTTTTCTTTTGGATATATTTTTTTAAATTAAATTACATCAGCCTTGTTGGAATCTTGAGAGCTACTGCTCAGCGCGAATTTCTGAGTTCCATTCCCGGGATAATAAAATAAAATAAATTATTTTTATGCAACTTTGAGTGATTAAACAATGAAAGCTGGTGGGAGGTTCCTGCGCGTCTTCGTCGTGTTGAAGCTGCTTGTCTCACGAATTGCTACCTTATTACAATAACATTATGTCTTATTATACCTTGTTATTTAATTATATTGACTTATTGAAATGAATTTTATATTTTTGTATTTGTTTGACAATAAATGAATAAATCAAAAATGTTTTGGCTATTTTATTTCCTAAACATATACATCCTTTGTAATAAAGAAATCTGAAATGTGTTGTTGTTTTATTTTCTTGTACCTAACTATGTTTACCTTTACTTATTTATATCATCAATTTGGTGTGACATTAAAAATATATGAACATCTTTAATCCAAAAAAATCGCAATGTATTTAAAAAAAATATTTAATCTGAGATCGACTCCTCGATTACGGACTCAATTTAAAAAAATACACAAAAATACGGAACTTCATAAAAAAATATAAAACGAGGAATAAACTTGGGACCTCGAATAAAGCAAAAATAAATCAATGAGGTCGTATCAATTTATATTTTTCAAAATTCACACATAATAACTTATCAATAAACCTTAAAACTCGACCAAAATTAAAATTATAAAAACTATGGTCAGAGTTACCACTTGAATAAATTAAAAAAAAAACAAAATTTACATGAGTCCAAAATAATTGTTTCAATAACAATGTAACCAAAAATTAATAAAAAACATACCATTTCGAGTTTGTAATGAAATCAAACTTGAAAACGAACTAATATTAAAATCCGATTTAAATTATTAAAGAACAAATCCAACTCAAATACTCGGTCGAGTTTGAATTTTACAGAACACTAACAAACATAAACAAAAATTTCGTAGCTAAAAAAAAAAAAACTGAGCTGCGCTGCATTCTAAAATTCAAACGTCATCCTTTTAATAAAATGTCTAGTCCTGAAAACTCTCTGACTGAATACGGAAATCGAAATGTAAACACATTCACGTCAATTCCGCACTCGGACTTCATTGGAACGTACCATTCTCGGTAGAATGGAAAATACTTTTGCCATACAATTTTTGAATGGGAACTTTAATAAAAAAAATAAACGTTATAGAGGTTTTCATCATTCTTTTTCGGTTTAGAGTAGTTTTATTTCTCAAATACGAATTAACAATGGGAAACCAAAAAAAAAACTCAGTATAAACTGTAGAAATCAACTACCATACCATAAAGCTACCAATTGCATTGAATCAAACGATAAAGTTTTATGAAAAATCGCCAAACCCGATGAAGAATGAATTGAACTGAAAAAAAAACGCCTTCATAGTCTATGACAGAGGCGAGGACCGAACTTTTTAGTTCGGAAATTATATTCAAAGAAAACTAACAAAATAATTGCGTTCTAAAAATGTAATTACTAAAAATTAAAAGAAACTCAACTAAAAATACCTATTTAGAATAACTGTACCAGAGATTATCAAAAATAATCAACGATTATTTCTAAATTACTAATAGTCACAAGTTTTGATCCATTGAGATTCATTATTTATTATTGAAAAGCACTTAACGATAAAATTAAATCCTATAAACTAAAGACTGAATGAAGGCGGAAATCGAATAACAAAGCCCAAACATCCTGACTTATTGCTTGTGCCTGCATCTAAAAATACGAACCTGGTAGTAGTAAAGATAAAATTTCACCAGTCCACCAGATTTTCTAATTAAACCTTAATAAATCTCGTATAAAAACCTTTACAAACAATTACAAGTAATAAAATTAGCAGTTTGATTGTAAAAATAAAACATTACCCCGGTACATCAAAAATATAATTAATTTGCACAATTCTACTTATCGATTATCAAGTTTTACGAATGCAACAAACCCTGGAAAATAAACATGACTGAATAAATGTCGTAAAAAATGAAGTCTATGTCAAAGTCAAAGCATTTATTTCAATTAATCCTTGAAATAAATGCTTATAATTCAATATAATATAATTATGAAATCAACAACTTATTATTGCCCACTGCTGCTCAAAGGCCTTTTCTTACACGGAGAAAGTAAAGCATTAATCACCACGCTTGCTCAATGCGAGTTGTTGATTTCAAACTTATAATTACAAATTATAAATTATAAGCCCAGGTTTCCTCACGATGTTTTTCTTCACTGTTTGTCAGTGGTATCTAAATAATCTTAGAAAGTACATAATTATAACTCGGAAAAAGTCACATTGGTGCTTGCCGTTGGTAGGTTTCGAACCCGCACTCTCATGCATGAGAAGCGGGCGTCTTAAACCTCCGGGCCACCATGACTTGTTGACTTTTATAGTCCTCCAATTAGGTACAAAGGTAAAAAACTGACAAAGAAGTTACATAAGCGTACATAATTATTATTAAAACAAAAACTCACAACCCTATTTTGACAACAATGCATAGGGTTAAAAAAAAAATTAAAAATTATTTCATACAAACTATCTACACAAAAAAGTCATTTCTTTAAAACAATGATAATAATAAAAATACACTTTTAAAAAAAATGATAATAAAATTGCGTACAAAAATCCTAGTGACAATTTAATTTGTTAATTGGGGTGCATTCAAGCGTACTCTTAGTACCTACTATGCGTAAACCCGAGTTACTATAGGTACCTAAAATGGGGCTTGCAGATGGTACTTGCTCTAAATGAAACAAGTAAGGTTAGAGCTCTAAATTCTCGGTTAGTATGTCAACAATGGTTCTTTCATGACAAATTAGTTTCGTAAGTGGTTAAAGGGGGGGGGGGGGGGTTAAATGCGTCATTTCATTTTTATGCTGTTGCTAACTGCATTTCACGCCTGGATATAAACAAATAGGTACATTTTCGGGGTCAAGTCTAATATAAAAGATTCTTTGACAAGACTTGGTTATCGATTTATCGATCAAAGAAATCAATCAACATTTCAATAGTAGAACGAAATCTTTTGAAATGTTTTCCCTGCTTTGATGTGTCAGGCCTTTGTGTTCAGTAATATGAAATGAAATAAAAATACTGATCACTATTATTAGACATGTTTACAGTTAAATAAATTAAAAAATCATTGTCAACGATTACGTCTGCGTACATAAAAGAAAATATTCGAACGTAGGTACGTACTTTGTGTGAAATTAAAATAAACTTCGACCGACATTACAAAGCAGAATGAAATGAAATAAACACGTCTGTAGTACTCTTTAACTTTGTTAGTCGTCATATCAAAGGTGTAATTAATTATCTTCATCACACAACGAACTTAATTACGTTGATCGTGAAATTTATTTACACTGTTATTTAGGCCAATCGTTTCCGACAAACACCGTACATCTGGCCGTACTAACTAACGTCAAACTGCCATAAAACTGGACAATAAATGGGGAACAAACGTAAATACACCATTGTCACGAAAAATCAAAGGAAATCCAACCTTAAGTCAATAAAAATAGGGCAGTAAATAATTTTGTATTTAGTGTATTTTTTCGCGGAACGCGTTAATTTCGCTTAGACGAGTTTAGTATGCGACCATATTGTGTTAGTTATTCCCGTTTTTTAAAGTTATTTGAAATTTTCGAATGTAATTTGTTACATTTGAGGCGTGGTTGAGGTGTCGACTTACTTTAAAACCTTTATAAATCAATGTAGGTTAATTCTAGTTGTTTTATTAACAGTTGGTGAACGCCAGCGAGAAGTTGTCGACCGTATTTCGGTCGATTTTTGTTGCGAACGCAGAAGAAGAGAAGAGGTAAGTGCAATGAGCTGTAACTTAAACAACTTTAAAACATTTTTCAAGTAAAACTTAATATACGTACAGGATGTTTTTTTTTTGTTCTAGTAAATTGTATAAATTGATTTAATATACATTTTTATACAGTAGTTTTCGCCCTTTATGTCGGAAAAACATAAGTTTTCCACGGGGTTAGTAACCGTCAGAAAACGTAAACATTAGTTTCAGATTGTTAAAGCTTACTTTTGTTTGAATTCTTCCATTAATCTGTCTAAAATATTAATATCTATAATATAATAATTCGAAGCGGTATTAATTCGTCTAATAATTGAAATTGTTCTCTTGTTTAACTAAAACTGACTCAAAACGTTTCAACTTTTCTTCGTTGTATTTGAATTGCGACCTTTGTCGTATAGATGGCGTTAGATGCACGAAATAAAGAACGCTGTGGTAATTTTGGTCTTAACATTTTTGGGGAACTTAAAGGGAAAAATTACTTAAGATTTCTATTGTCTCATTTGATATTCTGTTGTTATTTAAGCAAGGTCACGATTAAACAATCTATAACAAACCTCTCCAGTATATCTAATTCATAATTTGAAAATGGGACTAATTTTCTTTTTGGAACAATAAGACTAATAATAAAAAGAAATTATAAAGAATTTTAAAAATAGAATAACCCAATTGTCTTTTAAAAATGTGCCCCAGTGACCTATTAAAGTATGGATTCCGCTGCCATGGAAAACTTAAAAGTCCTCATAATACCACTGGTATAAAAAAATCACATTTCTGTTTACATTTTAAATTCACAGAGGCTTTGTTTAAACACATTGTAGGTTTATTTTCAACTTAATATAAGTTAGTGAATGTAGGTCAACGAGTTATTGTTTAGTATGAAACTTTGAAATAAAAAATTGTGCACTTATGACGAAAAGTCGTTTAGTCATTAATTAAAGAGCAATTAAGACAAAAGACTCTTATTGATACCGTTGATAGAAAACATAATAAGTTGTTCATACAGCAATAACCAACAAAGAAAACTCATTTTCGTACAGATTTCTAATTAGTTCCAAATAATGACACGCTATGGCGCTAGTAGGCTCGTATTCTACACTTTTTGTTATGGTAATTCAACAATACAGTATTACCGATACACACCTAAACAACATTTTAGACAATTCTTAAATCCAAAATTTTTCTATAAGGAGCTTATATAACAAAACTTGGATTATTATATATATGTCTTGTCACGGCAGGACGGTAACAACGTGACCGTGAAAATGTCTCACCTTACTCGTACTTAGTAGTACCGCAAAAAGTCTATAGATGGAGCTAATATACAATTTGGTTTTGTTCTTGTAACGAAGCTCCGAGTCGAAGAGACGGACAGTAACTTTGTAATCGGTTATAAAGTTCTTAGCTTTGTACGAATTTGTTTTGCGTTTCTCTCTCTCAGATCTCGTCTCGTTAAACGTAAATCGAACTCGTATTAAAACCTCTGTAGATTGTATTACGTTAGTCTTTAATTGTGATAACGCAGATTTAAATGTTTATTGTACGGTGTTGTTTAAGTTAACCAATTTAAACTGTCAATCACCGCGACGACACCGGTGACCGCAACCTTTTGTTCTGTAATTGTGTCTATAATGACCGTACTCAAAGGGTTAAACAGTTCATGGTGTCAAGAAATGATCGATGTTTGTCAAGAAAACATAAAAATCGATACTTAATTATATCTGAAAATAAATGCCGTATTATATTACTTAAAAAATATTAATGGCATATCTTAATGTTTAGTTAACTATAAATAATACTCTTATGACTTGAAAAATTTTGAGGCACAATAAAATATTCATAAAAAATTAAATAAAAGTTGGATTCTGAAATATGCGCGTGCGCATCTCCATAATGATGTTTGATTTTTAGTTCATTTTGAAATTTATATAAATGTCAGTTACTTAGATGTTTTAAGAGCCTCTTTAACGCATTCTACAAAAGAGAATAATAAATATGTGTACAGTTTAATATTTTATTTATCTAGTGATTTATAAACGTAATTAAAATAAATTCAATAACACTATATTTTCTGCAATCATCGGCATTTTCTTTGTAATTTTAAATAAACTTTGAAGAATATTACATTCGTAATTATGTAATTAGACATCACATCTAGGATCAGAAATATAGGGGATCAGTAGTAATGTACGGTAAGTAGGATATTTGATACAATTACTCAGGTACAAACGCCAGTATATACCAACCTACTCCTCTGTGTCGTATCGTATATTGCAATATTATCAACTTTAATACCATAAACAAAGGGCTCAATTTCAAAATAAATGTTGTTTAGTATTTAATTAGTTTCTTTTAAACAGCGAATATTGAATAGTGCATATTTGCATATGTTTGTTTATAATTAAAAATATTAATTATAAATTATTGTTACTTAAAATAGCAACTTTAATTATGTTTTGTATAGATAAACATACATATAGATGTTTTTTAAAACACATTCTTGTAAATTAGTATTCTAGTAAACTTAAAAATAATACAATAAAATTAATGCTAATTGTAATATAAATAAAATGTACTTCTATTCAAACATAAAATTACTGTTCGGTAAACTGACAGTAAGCAACGCGTTGAAGTCTTTAACAGGCGTGATTGTACGACATAAGCACTTACTTGAAGGACCGGGCGACCTTAAATATAACGATATTTGTTATTAATTATTATGACATGTTAATATCGACTTTATACTAATGCAGTTCATATCATTACATGCATATGCATGCAGTTGATATAATATAGAATTCGAGCGCTAGTTGCAGTTCAGTATAGTATGGTGTAACTAGGATTAAACTCCTACATTACTAGATTACTAGGGCTAATCTGACTATTCCATAGTGCGATCAAGATTCTACTTAAAACAGAAATGTTCAATGTAGTATAACGTATTAGCAGTAGATAGTGAAGGTAGTATAGGAAATTGCAAAGAAACCATAAAAACAATTATATAGAAAAAGTTATATAAAAGAAGAAAATATACAGGTACAAATAAAACTGAGCAATTGTCATCATTATATCGTCGGAGGTGCTTCTAGTTCGTTCGTCCCTTTAACTCCTTTCTTCTTTATAGGAGAAAGGAAGATGCAGCGCGTTGCGAAGCAGCTGTACCCCGTCATCGCCAACTCAACCCGCACCTACTCCCCCATCACTCTCTGCCGCGAATGGTCCACTCTTGGCCGCCTTGTCCTCATCGTATTCTGCGCTTGCTTTGCCTCAACGATCAACGGTTTCTTCGTCTCGGCCTTCTTTGTGGAGCACTCTTTAAAAAGGATTGGTAAGTATAATTATATTTTTATGCTTAAACACCATGTAATCCCGCAATTAATCTTTTGAAAAATGTTTTATTTAGTGCCCTCTGCATCAGGTAACGTGTTCCACGCGTGTGTTGGTATAGCTGACTTATTTATAACAGCCGGGGTGTTACCTATAGCAGCTGTAGTTTTGCTCTCTGGCGTGTGGGACACTATATCAGTCTGTCAAGGGTTACAATTCCTAACCGAGGCTTCTACGTACTGCTACTCCATCTTCTTCTTTGTAAGTACCTCTCATTATTATCTCACCTCTTATTTTGTTGCGAATTGTGAATCTAGCGATTGTTTGTTTGTGCAGCAATGAATCGTGCAGCATTAGCGAATTAGCACTATAGCTGCGAGCGTCAATTAGTTGTAAAACAAATGTGATTAATTGCAACATTATTTACAATATCCTGAAAAAATTAAAATAGATTTCTAATAAAACACTATTCAAATTATCAATTAGCTTAAGAAGTACATTGATGACAACTTAATACTTTGTTAAAGTTCCTTGTTATCTACTCTAAAGGCATATGTATAAACTTTGAACTAGCTTGCGTACGCGCACACAACAGTTGCGTTATAAATAATTTTAAACTTAATAGAAATTATTATTTTAAAACTAATTCGACATTTGTTTTAAATTGAAGTAATCTGTTAAACAATTTGACAGATTGAAGCTGATGTGCTATCTATTAAATATAATTCGATTCGTGGGCGTGTGCAGGTTAGATATTGGAACTGCAACTTAACAAAAATTATTCCACAGCTGGTCGCGGCTGAGTGTTACGTCCGCATCTGTCACCCTCCATCTGCGTACGAAATCTTCATAAACATGCGTGTCGGCTTGGTCTCCACTTTGGTGTTTGTCGTTGGCATGACTGTAGCTGCCGTCGGGACCTTCTTCGGCCTCGATTACGACTACTGCGAACGCTCACACCACGGCAATTACACCTACAGACTCAGTACCAGCATCATATTCCATGGCATTCCGTTCATTCTCACTTCTTACACCCTCATCGCTTCATCTATCCGCATAAACCAGCACTCCCGACTCCAAGCCGCTTACAAGCGCTCCTTGCAATATAATAGGGATCTCTCGTTGATTAAGATTAACATATTGGCGTATTTCATGTACGTTATCGCTTGGACACCATTTCTTGTAATCCTCTACCGGTACCCAAATATTGCTGACAATCACTTCTACCAGTCCGCTTGGGCAGGTATTAGTCGCTCTTTATTCACAAGTTTGATGTATGGATTTTTGAACGCAAGCTTTGGTCGTGCTTATGCTAATTTGTTTTATTATTGCTGCTGCAAGAGTTCTTTGAATGGGACATACCACTCCCGTCACAGGAGGACTGAATACAGGCCTACGACTGACGTGAGAGTGCACATCATGCACCAGGCCATGAGTGTGAACAGTCCACAACGAGGGGCCTCCACCTCTCGGGACACTCAGGAATTATAATTGCAGCGTATTTCACAACTCTAAATTATTTATTCACCCTATCTGTGATATTTTTTGAACTTTGCCATTTTGTAGTGTTTTCTAACACGGAGAGAGATTTAAGATCGCGGATTTTCCTTATAACTAATCCTACAACGCGTCGAGAAGAAATTAGAAACCATGAATATCTACCAAAAATCGACTCCTGCAATCACTGAATATCTTTTTCCAAAATTTGCTACCTATTTATCTATCACTTATCAACCTTTGAACTTACCTATCGAATTTACTCTGGTAATTTTTACCAGTCATGTTTTTCATGTACCTTTATATGTATATCTTCGTACATATGTATGTATATCTTCATATCTTCCTAATGAATTCATTTACATATTTCATCGATCCTAAAAGAAATTGTTTCAGGTTGCAGTGTGTAAAGCGTTTGTTTTGCTGACCAAAACCCCGCTGCATTTGGTCAGCAAAACATAAAACGCTTTAAATGTTATATTTAATATTTGTATCATTTTTTAAAAGACATTAATTTCATAATTTTGTCTGTGTTATTGGTCTTCTTCATTATAAAGTTACGTTTGAGCACAAAATAGCAAAACGCATAAAAATTTCTCTTGTTTACATTATACAGAATGTTTATAATAATTATCAAAATATACACTGTTACTCTCACAATCGTTTATAGAGGATAAGCAAAATGTAGGCACTTATTAAAATACATTTTAAATCTTAGGGTCAGTTGACATATGCGTATTTAATATTTTGATAAACGTCTCTGGTTTTATTTATTTGGTTGGATTAAAGTTGATGAGCTGAAAATTGGTATCTAATCGGGGATAAAAATAAGGATAAGTAGCCCAATTTGTGTAAAAATATCGATATATTTACCTTTTGTAGGGCATTTCGTCTGTCTGCCTAATCAATCTTTTCTTAACTCGTCGAGTACCGGTTTTATAGACACAATTAAAGAACAATAGGTCGCGGTCACCGGTGACCGCTTGGTGTTTGACAGATTAAAATCTATTTATACTAACTGTTATATTGTCAAAACAACCATACTCTTGTAATGTAAAAATATATTTTTTGTATATCAATGATATGTATTTGAAAAAATATTCATCATTCGAATATAACCAAAATATATTTAAAATGCTGTGTTCCATAGTACAGCGTTGTAAACAGTGACATATTTACTTTTTATAATATATTAATAATTATATAATCGAAGACTGTATTTGGAAAAAAAAAACATATGAAATAAGTTTCTCCAAATCAATTCTGGACCAGTCTACATATGTATCATACTTATATATATTTTATTACTTTTATCTTTTCCAATATATTGATAAATCAAGTTTTATAATCGAAACTGAGTATGTAATATAAAAATATATCATATTTTATATTTACATATATAAAAATATAGGAATGCAATGTGAAAAAAGTATGGTTAGGGTCAAAATTGTAACCCCCTGTACACTATGGCCGGCCATACTGTCTACTACCTTAGTTAACCCTGTTAATACTTATTTTTTCTTTTTTTAAAGTCTTTAATACGAATAATTCGGATTTTTAAATATGGCCGACCGGTGTACAGGGGTGGAGTGATAGGTGAAGACTGCTCCGCTACAGTTGTGGGTTCTAAGCAGGATAGCAAAAAAAAAACAAAAATGAAACCTTATTGTTATTACTTTAGAGTTCAAACTTGAAATCGTGACATGTAAGACTACATAAATGCCTACATTTAGGTCACAGTTGTTGAATATCAACACCGCATCACGGTTCTGCGTTTTAACACTAAATCTAGTACTTTAAAAATTAATGGAAAGAAAATCTAGAACTTTCTTAGTTACCTGTGCTATTTTGCTTCGAAGTTTCAACTGGAGCTGTGGAGGTATTAAGGAATGATTGGCAGTCATCACTTTGTAGGGTTTTTGTTTCAATTACAATATTTTGATTCTTAATATTTTTTGTACCTTCGGACCAACTCACCGGGCTACCCTGATCTGTTAAATTCTTACAATATTTAGCTTTATGACCGTCGAATAAAGTCAAAAATTGTAGAATTTCGATAGATTGAGGACGATCGATGAGGTGGCGTCTATTGGCAGGTCTTAATAATCCTTCTGTCATAAAATTTGGCTTATAATAGAGATATAGAACTTTGATACAAACTGTATAGAGTTTAAATTGAAATAATATCTTATGTAGCCAAATCTATAAACAGTTATTGTTGAGACTAGTCGTAAATACCAAAGAATTGTTTCATTTACGTACGGTAAATTAATTGAAGTCCTATTACGGATCAGACATGTAACCTAATTCAGTAATTCTCGTTGCTAATGTCCTTATACATATCTCGTATAATCGTATCTTTCTGCACAATATTGTATAAAGATTTTTCAAATGTATTCGTATTAGAAATGTATTAATATATCAAATGTATTTTAACCTTTTCAAGTGTATTTTCTCTGTGGGTAGTTTTGAGATAGCAGGTTTTATTAAAATACATACTCTTTTAATGATAATATCAATATTAAACCTAGATGTAGCTAATTAGATTAAGGCACCATTAGTTGAAAAATACTAATTGAAGACAAGACAGTGAGATTATGTAGGTTTGTAGATATGATAGTTTTTTAGTGTAGGTGTAGTTTTAGAAAAAAAAATGTATAATTAAGAAAATATTAAGCCTATGTCACAATATCTGACTGAGTTGGTATTTGTTCTAGTGACATGACTATATTTTGGTACATTCCGTATGGAAAGGGTGTCAAATAATTCGTATATTTGCCTAACATTATACTTATGCAGATATTGTGAAACAGGCCCTATATGATAGAATAACAAAGTGTTTCATTACATAAATTATAAGAAAACGATTGAAATTGAATTAAACAATTGATTAGTATCGAATAGTAGTATTTAATAATGAGAAATTCAAAATCATAACTGATATGTGTAATGTTTTTCAAAATTGATGTCTTTGGGTTGTCGAATTATAAAATAAATGAAATTTTGTTCATTAAATTAAAATGTATTTTTCATTATGTATGTACAAAATCCTCACACACCAACCCTAATTCCACACATACGAATGAACACAAGAATATTTATAATGCTCCTAAAGCAAGTGCCTACATAAAGAGTTTTTAATGCAGATCAACAACCAATAGAAACGTCAAAAAGAACTCACTACAAAATCAATAAACTGATGAAATAATCGACCATCAAAACCTACACACAAATGTCAAAGATTACAATATAACCAACACTAATAAAAGAAACATACAAATTAAGTTCTTAGATAAAAGTACTGGAACAGTAATGTAAATGCACTGCGTACTCAACATACAAAGGCGAAAATTATAGGGTTGCATAATTTTTATTTGTAAAAAAGGATATTCATTAACAATGTCCTAAAGAAAGCACTAGAAGTTTCAGTCTATAGTACATACAATAATTGAAGGTTCCAAGCCCACTAATAACTAGGTAAAGAGATTTGTACGTGATAGTACACAGGTGGAATGTGGCACTGGACTGTCACTCTCTAGCACTGGACTGTCACTCTCTAGTACTGGACTGTCACTTTCTAGCACTGGACTGTCACTCTCTAGTACTGGACTGTCACTTTCTAGCACTGGACTGTCACTGTCTAGCACTGGACGGACTGTCACTGTCTAGCACTGGACGGTCACACTGTCTAGCACTTCTGCCCGGCCTCTGTCAAATGTAGTATAATATTTCCTTATTCAGATCTGATAACACACACGAAAAGAGAGTCTGCTGTCATAGTGCATTCTGAAGATAAATGTAAGTATCAGTCATATCATGCCAAAATCTAGCAACAAGACCATCGCCGCTGACCATACGTTAGAAGCAACAGGGTATGGCTTAGCACTGAAGCTTTACCCAACATCTACGATATACGGTCTTCTCTCTAAAACATGGTAGTACTTGATATCAATTCTTCGTCGATTATTTAGTCTACTGACGAAAAGTATTTCTTTCTCTCTCTGTTCCATTATTCTATTCACACATATGAAAATATCGAACATGGGTAGGTATCAATGACAGGTTTGCACAGCGCAGTTTAGCGCTTGCGTCACTGTTGCAAAGTGACAATAAAGTCAGTCTGTGAGCCGTAGTACCTTAGTATCGTAACCCAGTATCGAAGGCAAAGCTAATAATACATACATACATACTTGTATATATCTTATAATGCCAATATTACCCTTGCATCGTGCCTGATGATAGATAAATGCTTCTCCTTTCTAAAAACTCTGTGAGTCTATGCTAATTTTTTAATTCTTTTATACAAAAACTACTATGTACCTAAACGGATTTAGATGAAACTTGGCACAGAAATATATTATGGCAAATGTCGTGGTGATTCGGAGATTTAAGACGCCCGCTTGTCATGCATGGGGGCGCGGTCTCGAAACCCACCAACGGCAAGTACCATTATGACTTTTTCCGAGTTATATGTACTTAAAGGACATATAACGCGGAAAAAGTCACATTGGTACTAGCCGTTGGTAGGTTTCGAACCCGTACCCTCATGCATGAGAAGCGGGCGTCTTAGCCTTCTGGGCCACCACGACACACGGGCACAATTCTACATTCAAATAATATTGAACATCAAGTAACACTTTTTGCGTGCGTTAAGTAAATATCGCGTGGTTCATACGAGGCTTAACAAAATAAATACAAACATGGTAGGTAGGTTCATACATGAACACAATGTACTTTCTTCTATTATATTTCTAGTTTGCACGTATAATAACATCACCCGGTGAAGCAGCTTGACCTGGTAAAACAGAGTAGGTCGAGTATTTTGAAGATGTGTTCATAGTAAATTGTAATTTATTTATTTTTATGATAAACAAGCAATTACATTTTCTAGGTCCCATTAAGGGAGAAATAAATTCTGTTCTTGTATTATCGACGATCGACGTCTTATCTCTATTATAGGTTAGCTGTTACTAGGCACTGCAAGTGCGATAGCCGGGCAAGGGGTCTCGGGTTCGATTCCCGGGTCGGGTAAAGTAGTACTGGGTTTTAAAAAAATTCTCAGTGGTAGCACAGAGTCTGGAATTGAGCCCGATATATGGCAATAGGCTCACCCCTATTACATGGGATTCATAGCATAAAAGAGTGAAAAGTTGGTGTAACATGGTACAATGGCATTAAGTTCCATAATGTGCACCTCTGCTACCAATTCGGGGAAGAAAGGCGTGATGTTATGTTGTTGTTAGCTGTTACCCGCGGCTTTACCGGTTGT